TGTTTGTATTTAAAATAATCATATCTTTCATTTCAACAGTAAAATATTCGTTGAATGCAGTAATAATATCTTCACTGAAGTCTATTACAGGAGGATGAAATGTTTCTTGGAATGGGTCTACATTACACCCGACTTCTATTTTTTCCCAAGAATAAACATGTATATCGACACCTTTTTCTTTCTTTGTTGAATATATCTTTGATATTTCTTCCATGAAATATTATTATTATTATTATGTTGCTTATATACTATATGTGATATGACATGTCCTGTATTTGGTGATATTTGGTTAACAAATGTTAAGACTTTAGTTTTCAATATAATTTGCAATTATATTATTGTTTTTTTTTGTTTTTTGTTTTACATGATTTTTGGAAACGATATTTGAATTACAAGGGAGCCACTCAAGTTTGTCAAAAAAAGAAATGTTATTTATTTTGTTTTATTAACACCATTGTAAGGTTAAGTTCGTTTTGATTGAAAAAAACAAAGATTACAAACGAAAAAAAAATAAAATGGAAAAACAAAACCAAATAACAAAAAATAACATATTTTTGTCAATAAATAATGTTTTTGTAATAAATAAGGTTTCCAGCATACGTCTCAAAAAACCTTCGTTTTTAACAAAGAAAAAATAATGGTAATTTTTTTTAAAAAAAAAATACTGATGTAGATTTTTATAAAATCAAAAAGCAAATTGCAAATAATTGTAATTGATAAAATAATTTTTTGTTTATTGCTTATTTTTTTATTTTATGCAGGGTCTATCACGTGACAAAAGTGTTTTTTCTTTGTTATTTGCCACGTCACCAAAGTGGTCTTGAATTTATGTACACTTAGTTCTTTTAGAACTAGCGGCGAGCTTAAAGCCGACTTTTGTAAAAGAAAAAACTTAGAAACAGATAGTTATTTGAATCAATAATTGGCAAAATTATGGGAAAACAAGCCAATTCAATTCTTAAATATCGGTTTATATTTTATTACTGCTGTGATTGCCATAATTAACACAATAATTGTGACAAATGAGGCACTGTTTTACACATCAACCCGATAGTTACAAATAACATTTTAATAACATAAATAACAATGAAATAACAATCTATTAAATAATTATATTTTTATTAATAATATGTAATAAAATAAACCTATTCAACTTAAAATAAAGCTAAAAAGCTAATAACTAATAATTAAAACTGCTATAAAACAACTAATAATAATAAAGAAAGGTTTATTATCATATTTATATTTAACTTTACTAACCAAATATATATATTTTAAAACTATATTGAATAATAATAATCAAACTCAAAAACTAAAAATGTTTGTTAATTATTAAAAATACTATATAACATATGATATCAATACTATAGTTTTAAACTATACAAATCGAAATAATGTATTAATAATTAATTAAATTGTTTAGTACATGATTTATATTTAAAAAACTTAAATATAAACTTATAGTTCATATAATAACTTATTTTATTACTAATATATTATTAACTATACTAGTAACAATAACCATAATTAATTACAACACAATTTCAATTATAACACAATACAATATCCATAACACTTGACTCGATCAATTCACAACGATAATACAATGATATCATAAAGAGTGTAATGCTCATAGACATAAGGCGATGTTCAAAGACATGACAACATACTCAAAGAAGAAATGTAATGATCAAAGACATAAGATAATACTCAAAAACAGGACAAGCAACTCAAAGACAATAAAGATTATCAAATAGACAATGCAATAGTCAAAGACAAAGCAAATGATTCAGGGACTGTATGAGATGTTCATGAGTCATTAGAGTGACAAGTGTTGATCTAATTGTTAATTATAACTTTTTTGTTTGATGAATATGTAACACAGTAAATAACATGGTGTTTTTATCGAGATAAATATTAAATTGATATATAATGATAAACACCAATTGGTCTATTAACAATAATAATTACAACAATGATAGCAACGGAATTATAAAACACATCAAAATGTTGTGATAATAGATAATATAACAAACATTTGGGTGTAATCATTCAAATTTTAAATTTATAAGTTCCAATGTTTTAACAGTTAGGTTATGACAAAATAAACTATAGCGATAATATGTTAATTTATTATATCAACTTACTATAAAAAATAATATAAATACTATTAAAAATAATATGTTTATTTTTAAAAACTTAAATAGATAATATTTTATTGTTTATAGAGTCAGTCTTAAAACGTTATCTAATCTCAAACATTATGGACAAAATAGCTTTAATTTTGTCTAATCATCAGGCAATGACGACATAATTGGGTCGGTGATTTAGTCTACAGCTTCTCCACATGGCATATAATCATTTCTAGTATGTTTAATCATCCAGTTCAATCTTTCTTTAACTACGCCTGCATGATTGTCGAATTCGTTGTAGAATTCGACAATCAG